ATTCACCGCCAACCACCTGCCACCATGCCTCTATAACAAACAAATTTGTTTGATACTGTCACCAAGGCCCATGGCGTGGCGGGGAATGTCCTCGTCTGAATTGCCCCGCTTCCATGGGTCCCGGGTTCGAGTCCCGGCTTTCTCTTGTAAAAATCCGAGCCTCATTTCGCATGAGTTGTAGCTCGGATCTTTCGTAAGCCTCCTCTTGTAGGGGGCTGAGCTTTTGTTATTTTTTCTTCTTTCGTTGCCAACTGCGAAAGCGAAGCTACCTCGTAGCATTCGTTCAGCTCGTGCGTGACAGACACTCCGCGGCAGCCAGCCAGCCCCTTACGCAAACTCTCCAAACTGGCCGTCGTCGAAACCCAGGTCTTGTGCGGATTTCCTGTTCTCCCTCTTCTTGTCTCGGATATTGGCAGCGCTCGGAGGCGGCGGCAATCCGAAGCTACCAGCACCACCGCTGCTCTTAGGCGCGCTCGGCGGCGGCGGAAGAGAGAACCCCTGCAACCCTCCCGCTCCTCCGCCGGGGATCTCGGACCCGGACTCGGTCCTCGCCCGGCGCCCAATCTTTGACCCGCCAAAGTTGATGGTGATGGTCTCGCCCTCCTTGAGACTGTAATCCTTATTCTTCTCCTCCTCGGCGCGCTTGCTATTCTCAGCAGCCTGCTTGGCGTGGCTGGCGTCCAGCAAACCCAAACTCTTCTGCGCCTCCTGCAGCGCGACGCCGAAGTCGAACGCCTCGCTGCGCTCCTCGAAGCCGACGCCCAGCACCGCCTTCCGGCCCTGCCCGTCCATGACGCGCACCGCGAAGAAGCGCGACGAGTCGAGCACAGGCTCGACGGCGTTGATGGAGGTGTAGGGCGCGGCGGCGAAGAGCTGGCCGTTGGAGGGGTCCTCGAGGACGATGTCGACCTTGATGTGGTTCTCTTTCGAGGTTATGCCTGCGGGTGCGCCGGGGGCCACGGGGACGACGGCGGAGCCTACGCCTACTGGAGTAGGGCGGGCGGCGGCGGTGGTCTCCCAGGCTGTTTCGAGAACGCGGAGGCGCGCGGTGAAGATTTGGCGGTCGGTCCAGCCGGCGGCGGTGTAGCCCTTGTTCGAGGTGAGGGGCGGGATGTTGTAGACGTGGGCGCCGGAGGCGATGAAGAGGATGCGCTGGATAGCGTCGGCTGGGAGGGGGTTGCCTGTTGTGGGATCGAGTTGTTCCATTGTGTTGTGTTCTTTGTGTGCGGAACAACTGTGATGGAGTTGTAGATGAGGTGTTGGTGGTGGAGGTTATGTTGATGGAGAGGAATATAGCTTCAACTACTGTCAGGGAGGGGTAAGAGGATGTGCTTGGGAGCTTCTACGGGTGTCTCGGTCTTGTAGAGGTAGAAGAAGCTTCATGATGGAGAAAAGAAGCAGAGGGAAGAGAGAACGGGGTTGAATTGCTTGCTTGTATTCAGGGGAGGGGGGGACATGAAGGCTTACAAGGACGGGAGCTTGATTAGCTGGGCATTGGGTGGTGTCAGTGTTTCGGGAGTGGAGGGGACCCCGCTGTCGGTAGTGGGATGCTTTCAGGGTGACGGTGACGATACAGGGCGATGAGACCGCTATTTCTGTGGTGTTGTAAGGACCCTGGACCGACGGGGGGCCCAGACGGAGGTGTGCACCTTGCGTACGGGCTCGGAGGGCGACTTGGAAGGCTCTGGAGTAGATAGGTGGGTACTTATGAGATACGTGTAGATAACGTGTGGCGTTAGGTAGACCCATATCGGAGCTTCCGGTGGTGAACCTAAGAAGAGCCCCTCCTAATTACCCCGCCAAATCAGAGCCATCAATCCCTTTGGGCGTGGTCGCAACGGCAAGCTCCATTCGGTCACTCGTGGCCCGTGGGAATTGAGTCACTGACTTTTGCCCAAAATTTCCCAGAGCTTCAACACTAAACCCCGCCATCGCGACTCTCAACTCAACGGCCCACCACCAACTTCGCACCGATTCCCCTCTAAACACACTACCGATATCCTACAATCTTCTCGGCGACCGCTGTCAGCAGCACTGACGACACCGAAACCAGCGTACGAGTTGCATGCTGCGCAGGGCCTTGCCCATCTTCCGAATCGAATCCTTCTTCACATACATCACCATGGCCACCGGCGACCTGACACGTGCGCTACCCCCTTTCTCTCTGCCTGACAATCTACTTGCGTTCAAACGTGTCACGTTAAAGGAACCCAATACTGACAACGTGACTTTACAGCAGCTGGCGACAGCCAAAAGTCCTCCACCGACATCCCTATCCGTATCAAGACAAGTGATGCCATCGAGTACGGCACAACCCACTCTCAACGTCCATTTCAAGGCTAACCCTTCTTCCCCTACAGCATCGTCTCAACATATCACTCCCTCCTCGAGGACCCAGACCTAACAAAACCCGTCGCCGCCATCGAGGCCCTCATCGCCCTCCTCAACGCCTCGGGCACAACCACCGTCTTCGAGACCCTCGACCTCGTCAAGCGCGCCTCAAACACCCTCCACGCATCCGTCAACAACCCCGTTCCCCTCCAGGCCGGCACCGACCTCTTCCTGCAGTACCTCGTCTCCTCGCTTAAGCAGCAAGAAGGCGCAAACGCATCCGCCTCGGCCACCGCCGCCCCCTCCCCCTACCAGTCCTTCGAAGCCGTCCGCACCCACCTCCTCCGCAACGGCCGCCTCTTCGCCTCCCGCGCCATCGCCGCCCGCGACCGCATCGCCGACGCCGGCTGGCGCTTCGTCCGCGACGGCAAGGTCGTTCTCACCCACGGTGCCTCCCGCGCCGTCTCCGACCTGCTCTTCCGCGCCGCAGACCAGTCCGGCGACGGCGGTGTCCGCTTCAAGGTGGTCTACGTCCGCGACGAGCACCGCCCCGCCGAGTCGGACCGCGTCGTCAAGGAGCTCCGCGATAAGGGCATTCCCGTCGCCGAGATCGCCGAGCCCGCCGTCGCCCACGTCCTCGGCTTGCTGCGCCAGGTCCACATGGTCTTTGTCGGCGCCGAGGCCGTCACGCAGAACGGCGGTATCATCTCGCGGATGGGCACCTATCAGATCGCCAAGCTGGCAAAGCAGGCCGGTCTGCCCTTCTACGTTGCCGCCGAGTCCCACAAGTTTGTGCGCAAGGTGCCTCTGGACCAGCGGGATCTCGGTTTCCAGCAGCACGTCTTGGACTTCCGGACGGACGGTGCCAGCGAGCAGCCTGAGGATGCGGTAGACTACACTGTGAGTTTTGTCACACCCACAATCCCACATTCCTCATTTTCAGACTTGATCATAATTGCTGACAAAATTGTCCTAAGCCCCCTGATTTCATTTCCAACCTCGTGACAGAAAATGGTGTCAAGCTACCCAGCTACGTGTTTGAGCAGCTCCTCGACATCTATGGTAGCTTGAACGGTTGACTCCCCCTACAAAACAACACATATATACCCGCCTAGGATTTTCAAATGTTTCAAAATTCGGAGACTCTCCACGATCGCAAATGATGAGAACGTGGGCCTTGATGCCCACTTGGGGCCGGCCGCAGACATGCCGGGGTCCGGATGGTGGAGACGAAGAGAAGTCTCGCCGGCGATAGAGAGCGGCGTTTCAATGCCAGAGTCCGATGACCAGGCGTATGGTAAGGGAATTGGCCGATCATGGCCGCTTGGTAAAAAATGCTCTTTGCAGCGGCAGGTAGTATGACCGTGAATCGGGCAGGTATAAGGTACCTGTCACTTGAATAGACGCAGGCGCCTTGCCGGAGAAACTGTCCTGCTGACCACGGGACGGGAGAGACTTGTCGGCAAGAAATGCCCTTTTTAGAACTCGAAATAGAGTGAGGAAGAAACAAAAAGTTCAAATTTTCAATCATTCTCTGCTACCTGCGTTCACAGCGCATACATGCAGTGTACACGGAATGAACGCTCACCAAATGACCTGCTCAAATATACGAGAGTATGCAACCAAGACTCCTGCGAGGCGGACGTCTCGCACCGTACCCAAGGTACCTTACCTCACTTTACCTGACGCACTGCGCACGAACGGCCTCACGATGAGGCGGGCGGGCAAGGCAACCCTTCCCCCTCCCCTCCCCTTCCCTTCTCCTCACAGCCCGAGGTGTCTTCGCCCTGCACTCGTAATTTGTCCGTGATAGCTACTACCCCATAATACAACAAAAGACGGGGAAGGTCCAAGAAGGTGAAAAAGACCAAAGGGAGGGGAAACCGACCGACCGACCCCCACGGCCTCTTGACGTCACAATTTCCAATGTGGGAACTGTCCACGCGCGCAGTATGACCTGCATACGCAGTACGCCCGACCAAGGGGTTTGCAGGAACTTTTTTTCATGGTCCGGGGTTGGGTTGGAAAAGGCGGGGATGGATGGATGAATGGATATTGGATGGATGGATGTCCGGCATCTCGTTCTTGTTCCCGAAAAACGATACGTAACTTGAAAGGTAGGTAAGGTACCCGAGAACCGAGGATGCGGGAGCTCGTGAGCGGCATCTTGGATCGTCAGTACTCAGCAGTGGCAAAGACCATCGTCGCGGTCAGCCAACGTAGGCTCTGGTAAGGCTTTTCTTAGCGAATGTGAATCTTGATTGATGATATCCCGCTCAAGTCGGCGGAAGTCGCCTGGTTTGGCGAAAAGTAGTAGTACAGTGAAAACGTTTCTCGATGCCCAATCTCAAATCGAAGAAACGATAGCCAGGCCACCCATAACAAACCCAAAGTAAGAAACACGACACACCTAGATATGGAAAACCCGTGTGGATGCCCCTTGATTCCTTTTTTCGTTTCCCCCAATAATGCTCCTAGCAAGATGAGACAAGACCAACAAATACTCAAGCTTTTTGGGCAAATGCCAAGGGAATGGTGCGAACGAAGTTGTGTCGTTCTCGTGGCGAAAGCAGTGTTGGACTGATAGCCTTTACCAGAAGGGGTGTGATTAAGAGAGGTAATACTACATTAGTCGATGAAAACCAGCAAAATGAAAAGAAGGCAACTGCTTATTTGATATCCCTGACAAGTCTTGCGCCGCACCAGGCAAAGGGGTAGTTTCGTTGATACCAGTTGACACTACAAATTATCAGTACATAGTACCAAGACATCGCCTACACAGTAGCCGACTTACAATGATCTTCTGCCGGCGATGCGGGGATGCGTTGACCACGATCCTCCAAGCACAATGTTGTGCTTGCCATCGAAGAAGTCGGCTACAGCTCATAGTTAACAGGATTGACACTCTCGGGAAATGCAAGTTTCTTACCCGTGTACTGAGGGTATAGAGGCATAGGCTCGAACCCCTCATGGCGAGCAAGGGGCGTGCTGGTCCACTCCCAGACACCGCCGAGCTCACCCTGTCCCGCGAGGCGACCGCCGTCGGCCGTCACGGGAACCGGGTGCCAATGCTGCAAGCCGACATTGGCACCATCGAGGTCCGCGAATAGCTCCGATCGAACCTCCGCGGCCTCAAGCGACTTCTTCTTTGGTGGTGTTTCCTCGACTCCATCATTCGACAGGTGGCTAAAGTAGGGACGTCAGCCTCTGAGATCATTCAGATCAGCTAAATATTCAACTTACCCGTTGACTGCTGGTACCGTCCTGCCCAGCGTACGCTCAGCTTCCATCTTCTTCGAGTTATGAACGTAAGTGTAGATGCTTCGAGCCTCCTCAAACGTCGGGATTCGGCCTCCCATCCATGCTGCACATCCAGAGAGTTCATCGAAAGATGCGAAGATGGGCCAGTCCAGAGCATATTTCAGCGGAACCAAGCCATAAACCGTGCGGACTGCAATGCCGTCAAGGAATGAATCAGGGACGACACTATCCCCGTTCTGGTGTCCATTCACATGTCCATTTGTAGTGCCATTGACATGACCGTTTGTGTGGCCATTGACGTGACCGTTTGCATGCCCGTTGACCCCGTTGACATGACCATTTGTATTTCCATTGGTAAAAAATGTTTGTCCATTCGCGTCAAGGACCGTGTCAGAATCGGGCTCTGCAGCTTGAACATCGGCCCATGATGCAGGGACCTTTTTGATGTGGTTTTCAAACATGTATTGCGCATACTATTCTGGTCAGCCTTGAACTGATCTCGCAGAATATCTAGTCACTCACCTCCTCATTTGTGATCGGTCGTCCTTGTGCCTGGAACGCATGAACATTGGCAACCCTTGCAGGTCTTTCGTTGTCCCTAGTACCACGTGAGTTGTGAATATACGTTTCAGAGAATCGTTGCTTACCAGCCAAAGTACCCGTTGACGCCAGCGTCAAGATCAGGCTCGTCCATGCCTACAATAATAGACTGAGCAGGTACATCGTGCCACTGGTTGGATACCCGGGACTGGCGAGCTTTATTGGCCAAGCGCTTGAAGTCCGGGCGCAGAACATCAGGAGGAGGGACAGTCTTGTCGCTCTGGAGCATCATATAAAGGAGCGTCTCCATGTGCATGATCTCGTGCTCAAATCCCACCCAGATCCCTTGAGCAGCAGCTCTGGGGATGTTATTGATTCCATTCTGGTACTGGTCAAGTAGCCTGGATCGTACACGCTGCTGGTACTGAAGAATATCTTCCACTGCAGGCCATTCATCAGGGATTTCGGAATGAGAGTGGCATTGCTCCGGATTGTCGACATCAGGGTCGATGCCCCGCTCAAACATTGGCTGAAAGTGGGCTGGCTCAGTCGGAGGCGTCCTTGTAGTTTTGCACAACTGAATGTCTAGGAACCCGGGGATATGCCCAAGGTAGAAGATGCAAGCATTGCGAAGCTTGATGGGTTGATCCAGCAACTCCTCTCTTGGCAGCATTTCCTGTGTAACAGCATCCCATGCCGCCCACAACGCCTGCCAATCGTCCAGAGTAGGACAGGGCGAAGAAGCGTAAAGTTCGGGGAGACGACTGAAGGGCATTTTCCTCTTCGAAATCATGTGGATTCCTATGATCAAGTCAGCTCCCGAAATGAAGATTGGGCTTCCAGCCAAGATGCGAGTGATTTTCGCTGCAAAATATAGAATGATTGAAACTCGGTCAGATGATCGCATCGGGACCAGTGAGATCCATCATCTTACGATCCGGAGACTGCACAATGCCTTTTTGGGCAATTGGATCCACGTAGCCGGCCAAACGTGGGGGAGGCTTATGGGGTGCAGAACCATCCTCACGAAGGATGGCCACCATCGGCCTTGATCACTCGGTTTCTTATGCGAGGGAAAGATTCCACTTGCCATGCTCGGTTCCTTTTGTCCAACAGTTCGTCTCGACCAAGCCTGCCATGTTCCACAGATTCTGGGCTCCCAGTTGAGAGTATTTCAGACTCTGCTCAACTTGGATGCGCTCGTGTTGCCTTACGAGTGCTCCCAGAACGTATGTGTCTCGAACGGGCGAATAGAAAGCTTGGTGACGTCCTCCTTCGTCATCGTACACATACTCACCGATGACCTCCCAGTCTTTGAGCTTGAAGGCCTCTTCTCCTAAGATCTCATTGGCGTTGGCGAGTCCGTTGAGGATGAACCTGCAGAGGTCAGTCAATGCGACTCAAACAGTGATTCACGATACACCTACGCATGCGTTACTCCTTTCTGGTCTTAGGATTCTAAGTGTTAGCACAAGGATCTGGTGAACTTGACGAGGTAGCACAATTACCATTGTAACCATGGCTGTAGCTGAGATTAGCTAGCTGTAGACCAAATATGTACGGAATTGAAACTCACTAGACCTTGGAAGGATCGCAGCATCCGTCAAGCCCAATCAGCAACTTGTCCGACTGCGTCAGAACGTCGCTGAAGTGCTTGAGGAAACCGGCCGCATCATCGCGCTCGAAATTTCCTACACAAGAACTCAGAAACATGCCTAGAGTTGAGAATCGAAGATCCAGTTTCTCCTACCTATGCTGGAACCCAAGCTCAAGATGCACTTGGTGCGTGCCAGGTTGGATGGCTGTTTCAGCCATTCCCGGCCATCATCATAGGTTCCCAAAAGACCATGGCATTTGACGTGATGAAAATCAGGAACTTGAGCAAGCGTGCGTTCCAATTCCTCTCGAGAGAGATCGAGTGCGTAGTAATCAATGTTCTTGCCGGCGTCCTCGAAAGCCTGCAGCAACAAACAAACTTTACGAAGATTGCTTCAAGAAAAGGTCAGAATCATCTCGTTCGAGTCATCATTCATCAAGTATTCACTGACCCACTTCCCAACTCAATGACCATAGAATCGGGTGAGATATTCTGAGCGATCTCTTTTGAGTTTTTCTCAAGAACCTCGATTTCGTTGTTGGTCAGGTAGTACTCTTCCAGATATGTGATCTAGGGTAGTTGTTAGCGTTGATCACGCAAGATGTGGCTGAGCTGAGGAGCCCTCGATCAGCACTTACATCCTCAAACAATTGCAGGCCCCGTTCATTGTAGAGAAGCAGGGTCGGCAGCCTCCGGGGTCCGTTTGTGGGGTTCCACATGGAAATGATGTCGTCCTTCAAGTTTGTTTCGACCGCAACGCGTCGAATATCGATGATGTCAAGGCCATGTTTGCCCACGGGTTGTACTGCCAGCTGCTTATTCGCCTTGATACTGGCGTGGGAAACGCTGTCCTGAGAGACGGCAAGAGAACCCATCGTGACAAGTAATTGGGTTTACGGAAAGACAGTGGCTTGAGTGTTGAATACAGGACGGATACAAGAGAGAGGAACAAAGGTCAAGGTTATATGAAGAATGTTGAAAGTAGCATGTGCAAGACAACATATGCTTTCGAGACGAGAAGAACGGACGAGTACCTTTACCTTATAGGGGCCACAGCAAAGTTACTTGGGTTCTCCCAGACCGGCGGAGACGCCGGCAAGTATACGACGGTACACGTTGGTGTTGCCATGCTAGCAATAGGGCATGTTCGAGACGTGCACCAAATGCTGAGTGTGGATTGTCAGACGTACAATTGGTGACTCGGCGTGCCATGGTTTGCCATTCTGGTCTACAGTGCAGCTACTTGACGGAGCTGAGAAGTATTTTGGGGATGTTGGTGGCCAGCGTGAGCATGTGTACGATCGGGGTACTGAGCGCCAGAATGGGATCAGGTGAGACGGCAACACATTGAGGACTGCGTTCGGAAGTACACTAAAGGTATTCCGGTTCCGTGGACCTTGTACCAGTCAGTGCAATTCCTTTGGTCATAACGTGCAGATAGAAGAGGAGCGTGACAGCTTCATCCTTGACAGAGAGTGGGAGAGGTTTGCAGTTGAGCAAATCAGCGGACGTCATCTGAGGCGTATCCCACGCCCCACCGAGGGGGCAGCCACGCTACTATTGCTGGAGCTTGACGCGGATCACCGGATTCGACATAGTTGCGGTACCTTGAGTATTGGAAGCGGCCGTTGTTGCGCCCTACTGCGCGGGAAAGGGTAAGCTCCAAGAGACCTTTATTTGGCATTTGTTGTCTGGTCGAAAGACATCTGGCGAAAAAAAAGAAAGTTGTGCGGCATCTTGGCGAGGCTCGAAACCGCAATTATCAGGGGTGTCGGGAAGGTTGCTTTGCATGCTCGATACAAACTTCCCCGCGGCTAAGGCCATCCTCGCAGCTTCCAGAACGAGCTTTCGGGTGTCTCCAACAAACCAAACGCGCAGCATCCAATTCGAGCCAGGCCAGCCCTCATTCGCGAGTTTGAGACTCGTGAGAAACATCAGAATTCGGAGTAATTCGGCGCTTGGAGAGCAGTAGTGAAGCTGGCTACAAAAATGAGAAAATCTGCCAATTTAGTTGCAACTCCAGAGTTACCACAGCTCTTCGAAGCTCTTCCGAAGCTCTTGAGAAGCTCTTCATCGGTTGGCGAGGTCGCCTACACTAACGTGACTAGCTACCATCAGTGGATGTCACGGTGCGAACTGGTGTCCCAAGAGCCACCAAAGACGAGGAGCGCTTGTTGGCCTGGGCTTCCAGATCGGCACAAAGGCTGCAACCCCGGCCCAGGTTAGCTGCAAACCTCCCTGAAGCCTGTGGGGGTGAGACCAAGTAGAGGGAGGGGCCAGAAGAGGTTCCGACACTTACACGATACGTCTTGGTGAGCCTCAGCCCACCCAGATGACCAATCCTGCCAACAACAACGGGTCATACTGCGTGTGGGTGAGGATATGTCGACGTCATGTCTCCTCTGGCGGGACATGGCAGCAAAAGTGCTGGCTCCCGGCTAACCTTCCCATAGTACTTTGGAGTTATTGATGCTGTGACTGGCACCCAAAGAACAGCCAAAGATTCCACATGAGGGCGGGGTAAATCAGGTACCGTTCCAATTGAGTTACCCAAAGGGCGTGCCGATCTACTGTCCCCGTTGCAAAGCGCAATTTATGACAATGCCATACTGCAAGGCAAAAGTCAAGGCGACGAAAGGGAAGCTCGACAGTAAAGCGCGATTTATGCATGACATGATTTCCGTCCACGAGTGCGGGGAAGCTGTTGCGTGTCGGTGTTACCTCCGTGCAGCTTCTCTTCCCGTCTGCCAACCCCAGTAGGCTTTGTGGTCCGAAACAGCCCACGGAGGATTTTGTCGCGTTGCCGTATTTCCCGAGGAATGCTGACAATGTTGGACATGGGATCATCGTCGGGGATATTGAGGATCGTATATGGCCGAGGATTCTTGCGCCAATATGCATCTGTACAAGGGCCTGTGGCCGGCATGGTCAAGACAATCCGGCCCGGTACCGGTGTGCGCGCCGTGGGGGGGGGGGGGGGGGGGGACAGTCTGTTGGTTGGGCGGGCGGTGGGGGTCGCGGGGGCGGGGGGGGGCGGGGGGGCGGCGGGGGGGGGGGGGGGGGGGGGGGGGGGGGGGGGGGGGGGGGGGGGGGGGGGGGGGGGGGGTCCCAGATACCTTCGGTGAAGCTCGGTCAAGTTTAGGTAGAGCGAGATGGGCGAGCATCGACATCTGCCTTTGTTTGACGGCCAGATTGACACTACTCGGCAATCTCGAGTTCGAGCGAACCGGCTGGAATATTTGTGCCTTGCATAAGGCTACAGATGGGAAAGTTCCCGTGACATTGGTGCTGGGGGGAACGTCCCAACGGCGAGGAGCAGCTTGATCTTCCCCAGATTGATAAGCTTATCTATCAGTTGTCTCTGAAGATCGCTCGGCCGGTTTGAGTAGTGACAAGGTAGTCCAAGGTGGGCGCCGGGGCCAATCGAGGAGGTTCCTGAGTTCTCCGAGATAGATAAGGAACCGCGGCCCGCATCAGTAGATATTCGTGGGGCCATCGGGACGGACGTCGTTCCGATACCATCGCCATCTACCTATGCTGTGAGGCTACGCCGTCGTTCTCGTTTTCGCCATCGTGGAGAGTGGAAACCTAGGAACAACAAAGATGAGTGAGCACTATACATCTGGCATATACATGGGTACAAACAGCACAAACGACTCACCTCTGTAGTAGTCAGCAAATAAGCCGTCAAACCCCCTACTGGCCGATTGATAATAATAGGTGTAGTGAAGAGTTTGTAAGACTTTCGCAATCTGCATCCGAACCGGACGGAGAAAAAGTACGTCTACGGCAGTACCAAAAACCACATGTGGTGAAGGAAGGAATGGCCGATCAACCCCGCGGCTTCCTGAGAAGTACTTGCCTGGATGCACGATACCCTTCCTGCTAGACTAAGAAAATTCTATCTACTTGGAAAAGCAGCACCGATGTCGACAGCGGGACGTCCAAAGCTTGAGAATCACCAGTCGTCAAATGTTTCCTGGAAGGAGTTATCTTCCACACCACCCCAACTTCCGGCCACGACATCGCAGGGCAACATGTCTGTTGCTAGATTGTATCACTGGCGTATCTCGGTTCTTTGATCAGGGATTAGTCAATATGCGACATATCCTCACGTCACTTTTTTGTCATCTGGCTTCGCGGAGGTCCGATCTACGGTCTCTCTCAAGTATTTCAAAGTGGCAAATGTCTTCCAGGTATGCAAGTTCCTCTTCTTATGAGTAGTCCTATCTAATATGCAAAAGGTATCACCTAAATCCAAACAACCCTATGCAGCAAACAGCTTCCAGACCGAACCCTCCATAAACGCCACCCAATGCTATTCCATAAATACATCACGAATACTTCATAACCCCGGCTGACTATGACGACTTGTTCGGCTTCCACGCCTTGATCCACTTGCCAATGACCTTCACCTCTTGCTCAATGATCGCGGCATTGTCTTCGCCGTTGTTCAGAAGAAAGTCTGGGACGTGGTTCGCTCCCTTGACCACAAAGGTAGCCGTCTGCTCGGTGGTCTTGACCGGTCCGCCAGGGCGATAATCAGAGTTCATCGATGCCGACCTCCAACCGTCATGCTCGCCATCGCAGAAGAGGACATTCTTGAACGTGGCGTTCCAACCACCAGTCCAGTCGTTGAACATGGCCGCCGTGAATCCCTCGGAGCTGGCCGGCTTGAATCCAAACGTTTGTGGGAAGCGGAGATCGCACTGGCGCTGGCGGTCGGCAGGCCGCACGTGTGATGACACGATATTGGTGCCATCCGACTTGGGCGGGCCGACATGCCACCATCCAAAGGGTTCGTTGCAAAGCTGCCAGGTCCAACTGCGATCGGCGCTGAGGTCGTTCGGCCTGTTGTATCCCACTGCTTTTCCATACAAGTCGCATGCTTCCTCGCCCTCGCAAACCTTGCTATACCGGCTGTACATATACGATGTATATCCTTTCCACGCAGCCTTCAAGCCAACACCCGACTTTTCGGTGCCCTTGATAATGTTGCCGTTGTTCGTGCTCGTTTCGATATAGTCACAGAACTCGTATACCGCGGTCTCGTTGCTTGCCCACTCGATGATGGGCCTCAGCAGGTACCACGCAAAGTCGGCATTGTCCTCAAGAGTCTCCAAACCAAATTCTTCCTTCATGGCATCGATCTCCTTGGCGGAGCCCTTGTCAAGCACGCTGTCTACTTGCTTGATGACAAGCTTGACATCGGCAGAGCAGGCTCGCGGCAGGGCCTGCTCAATGGGAGTAAAGAACTGCCAGAAATCATCAATAGCCTGCACGACGGCAGAGCTTGCATGGTAGGCAGCAAAGGTGCCAGGTGCAATGACAGATGTCCACGCGGAAAGGGCGCCAGGATAACTGCCACCGATTAACACCCAAGGAGACTTGTCTGCGTTGGCACCTTTCTTCTTGTCGAAAGGAAGCTCGACAGTTTCGGCGAAGTGGGTGTTGTCATAGATGGCCTGCGGGACATTGAGATACTGCAAGGTGTCGGCTGTGAAAGTCTTGAAGGGGAGAGATTTTCCGTAATACCGGTCTATAATGGTGAGTGTCAGTTTAGCAAAGTCTTCTTGCGGACTTCCCAACAGCTGACTTACGCTCCATCAGGACAATCGCGCCTTTATACGTCTCAGCATACAAGTATGTCAAGGTGCCGTTTTCCAGATAACCGGTCAGGCCCTCAGCATCACCTTCACCACCATTCAACATGAACACGGGATATCCTGGCCCGCCCCAGTGCTCCGAATTATACCAGTATCTTTGTTTGAAAGTGCCCTTGGACAAGTCGGTATGGTCTAGATACTGGTCGAACGTGCCGTTATGGACCTGCGTCCCCGAATGCGCTCGACGTTGGAGGCCACCCATCTTAGGG